TATGTTTTCCTCTAGTTGATTTAAAGTTTTAGGTCTACATTTAAGTCTTTAATCCATTTTGAGTTGATATTTGTATGTGGGGTGAGTTAAGGGCCCAATTTCATTCTGCTGCATGTGAATATGCTGTTTTCCCAGCACCATTTATTGAAGAGAATGTTCTTTCTCGATGTGTGTTACTAGCACCTTTGTCAAACATCACTTGATCTTAAATGTCTGTATTTATTCCTGTGCTCTTGATTCTGTTACATTGATTTATAAGTCTGTATTTGTGCCAGCACCATGTTGTTTTGATTACTATAGCTTTGTGGTATATTTTGGGATCAGGTAGTGATGCTTCTAATGTTGTTCTTTTTTTCTCAGGGTTGCTTTGGCTACTCAGGGTCTTTTGTGGTTCCATATGAATTTTAGGATTTTCTTTTCTATTTCTGTAAAAAATATCATTGGAATTTTGATACAAATTGCAGTGAATCTGTGGACTGCTTTGTGTAGTGGACATTTTAACAATTAATATTGTGACATGTTTTTTATAGTCATTTGAATGTCATACACATGTTGGTGGGGAAAATTTCAAAAATTGCAAACTATAAATTGTTTGGCAAATGCAGTACTAAGAAAAAAAAAAAGACTTTTTTCTGCATGAGCCGAACAATTGCCAAACACTGCCAAAAAATGGATAGATTTGTGATGTTAATAAATTCCTGATTTCTAGACTTCATAGTCATATGATATGAAATCAGAGTGTTCCATGTGTTGAATTCTTTTTCTATTTTAAATGTGAGTGATATATCACTACACTAATTTTAACATAATGAATCTATAGCGCTGTCTCTCAAAGCATTTTTCTCAGGGGGAAACCTTAATAACTGCTAAGATCCTTCCCAACTTGATGATGTTTTTTCAGTGCAGCTATACTGGAAGAAAAGAATTAGAAGTATGAATTTTTGGTACAATTTAAATAGCACAAAAGCTACAACATGTATTAAGATATTAAGTTATATCATTAGATAAAAGACAATATTAATAACCATATAAAGATCTCATATAATAGCATCATAAAACTTTATTTTCTGCATGTCATGTAATTGTTGTTTAAAACTTACAGAACTACTGAAATCTTTACTATACTGGCAATATTCACTATGTGCAATTCAAGTATGCACAAAGTTCAGAACCACAATTTAGTTAAATTATAATAGTCCTCCAACAACAAAGTTCAAATTCCATCTATCATGCCATATTAACTGTGAGTAATTATATAATGGCTGCTAGCTCTTCAATCCGCAGATCACTATGGAAATAACACATGAACACCATGATCAGTGAACAATCATGGCATGGCACTTCCTTCAAAGTCTGCTGAGGTTTGGTCACTGCATGTTTGGTATTGTTCAAACATAGACAGCAAAGGGTGTTCTCTCCACGTCTCCCAAAGATAAACTCGCATAACATGGATTACAAAAGTGGATAATCGACAAAGGAGATGAGCCTATAAAAATGCAAGTACAGCAAGGAAACAAAATATAATAATGCTGGAATGGAAAGTGGATGTGAGCAGAAGCTCTGAGAATGGTGACAACAAAGGAAAGACAAGAAGCTTGCATGAAATGAAGGTAAAAACTATGTTGAAAAAGCCTGATAAACATAAAAAACAAGATAAAGTCACTTCAATAGGATTCTAAGTCAATGGAAATGGAGTTGTACCCAGAGTTCTAATTGAATGTAAATGGAGTTGTACAAAAAATAACTGACCATGGAATGTTGACACTGTAGCCAGAGGAACTTAGTGAAGGTGAACTGATTCACATAAATGAGGAAAATGATCTGACAAAAAGGATGACAATGTCCCAGAAGAAGTGACACTAGCATAAAATTTCACATTAAAGGAATTCTCAGAGATATTTCATGGGACTGAAAGTACAAAGGACAAAATTTTGGAAGCTAATCAAACTTCGAAAGGAATATGATAATTCAATTCACCAAGGCATAGAAAAAGCTACTTGCTCCATTCTATAACTTCTAAATTCCAGAATGAGAAGAAGGCAAGCACTGTTCAAACTATTCTTGATAAGCATTTTACAAAGAAATCAAACACTTTAATTCTCAATATTTCTAATGCCTTATAGTGTACTGAATAAGTATTTGTTTTACTAATTTTTAATTTACCTATACATTTATAAACCACAGTAGGGAAATTCTTAATGCTTTGGCAGAAAATTTTAAAGGTCACAGAAAAATTGTCATCTTTCCCACTGATTATTAAGATTCTTTTGCCTGGTTTCAGCTCATACAGTCATTTTTATGGTCCTGCACTACTGTGCAAAGCAAGAAGTGCATGTATTGCCAATGCCTAAATTTTTCAGTTTTTTGTCACTATAAGCATAAATCATTCAGAAATCAACACCTATTATACATATTACTAGTATAATAACTAATGCCCTTCTGAACATATTTTATAAATTACTTTCAGTGTCATGACACAATGTTGAAAGATGCCCTTTCTCCTAGCCAAACTAGATATATAGAAGAGCATTATGTACCTGGCAGTGGTAACTGAACTAATATACCACTGACTCTTGGGTCCATGTTCAATTGATCAGTTATATCCAAAAGTTCTTCCTGAGAAACATCCTTGGGTTTTAGAATAAGCTCACTACAGATACCTGGAAGAAAAACAAGCAGAGAAAGCTGCTTGACTAAATAAGACATGGTTTTTC